GATCTTCAAATACCGAAGATTTTCTTCATGCTTCTTTCCACTTTTTCTGATGCAAAGCATACAGATGATTATCTAGGCGTTCTTTACATTAATGGCTTTCTTACCAAAACAAATTCTAGGTGTTTTCTAAGCACAAAAAGTCTAGTCTAGGTCTCATATGCTCAGAACATTTTCGAGAGGTCTTCTGTACACAGGAGAACTTCAACAACAAGTGTTCAATGCACAAAATGCCTTGATGAGGTCTTTTATAAACAAAGGTATGCGGACGGAAATTTTTCGGGATAACTTTTTAATACATAAATCCTTCTACAGGTTTCTTAGAATCTCTTTGAAACATAAATAATTTATACTGCGTGTCACATTCCAGATATCTACTCTTTTTTACCCATTCCGCCATTATTTATTCCATAATGGCTTGTTTCTAAACTTATTTTTCTTTACTACCACACCCTATGTTTGAAGAGAAACCTCCAAGATTTTTGCAACAACTTTTATTCACACCACAAAAAAACAAACAACAACTAAAACCAACAATAGCTTTAAGATTAAAATTCATTAACAACAAGAACGGCAGCTACAACAAAGCAGAGCATGTCATGAGACAAGTATTGCTACCTACATCCAAAAAAATAACGATCTGAACATGAATTAAATTAACCTTGAAAATTGAATCTAAATAACAAAAAAATTAAAGAAATATAAACCAGTTTTGCAATATTACTCTGACACCAACCACCACAAAAAAAATACACCAACGAAAAATCCAAAGCTCCCATGTAATTTAAGGAAATAAATTGAAAATAAGAAAAAAATGATCAGGAAATCGAGGGGGAAATAAAATTTGTCAAACAGGAAGAGCATAAAAAAATCGAATATGAAAACGGATCACCATAGTTTGAAATAAAATATTCTGATTCCCCAAATCTCAGCGTTTCACAATCGCATTTCTTAAGGTTAAACCCTTTTTTTAGGTCTACCCAAAAAAATTCCTTTGGAATTCCTTGGTGTATTTGAAAAGAAAAAGATACGACAAGAATTTGTCTTTTTCATTGCCCTTTTTAAGTGTTGGTTCAAGTGTTATGTGGCTTTCAATCTCAAGTGTTTGAGAGATTTGAGGTCTCATAACGTTGCCCGTGATACAAAACTCACCCCGCCCCTTCCCAACCCCCTTGTTTACGCATCCGCCATCCAGTTATTGTTTAATTCGAAGAAGGCCTTTATCAAGGATAAAACCCATTTTTATTTGTTTTCTTTCTTCATTCATTCACTGCTGTCTCAAAATCAAATTTTAACTACATTGGCATTGAAGAGGATTTCCAAACAATTGAAAGTGATTTTTGTCTGGCGGCGGTCCTTTTTCAAAATGGTCCTTTCGAACAAATCCAAAATCATTGCCCATAGAATTAACTTGGTTGAAAGACAGTTTTATGGTGGTTGTTTATTTATTTGGGGGGCGAGGGGTTAAATTTTCAAATTTCAAGTGTAAAAGTTTGCACACTCCACTCCATTCGAGTTTAGTTTTCAAAACAGATCAGAACATAACAATAATTGTTATGCTTGTAAAAGAAACACAAAGTATGAGAAACGGATATGGATACAAAAGTTTTACATAAATGGCGAACGTGATGGTAGTCCATTTTGAAGATGTAAATTACCGAAGACATGTTTTTAGATTTTTTAAATTTAATTTTAGTTAATTAAAAATATTGTATTGTCTTCAAGAGGTCGGTATTATGCCCAGATATTTTAGGTATTACCTGTCCAGGTTAATATTAGGTGTGTCTGGTTACCCTAAAATTTGTAACAATTGTTACAAATTGTTACTGGAAGTCGTCTGTTAACCCAAAAGTTCTGCAAAAGAGAGCGGTTGGAGTAAGATATATTGACAGTTCTTTCAGTGAGAGTTTGCAAATTCTTGCTGGAAAAATTTCTTCTTGCAATCACTTGCAACTCTTCTTCTTCTCATTCATCGAGATTCAATCAGATGTTTTCTATTGTTTGTTTATTTATTTTTGTGCTTTCAATTTGAAATTTTTTTTTGGAATTACCAAGACTAATAGTTTTTGGAGAAAAACTTTACAAAATGTGAAAAACGTAAATGTTAATATGTAATAAGAAAATAAAAGACTATTTCCAACATTTTTATTTAAAAAACTTGTAAAATTAGTATTGCTTCCTTTGTTTTAATTCTCCTTATGGGGGACAAATTGGTTTGTTTTGATTTGATAAGCTGATTAGTTGCAAGCTTCTGCAGGAATACCGTCTGTTTACTTTTCGCATTTTCCTTGCAAAAGAGAATAAAACTACCTTACTCTCTCAGAAAGAAGTTACTGGACAATTCCTGCAGGAAAAGTAACCAGACACACCTATTATGTTTTCTGATTTTATTTGTTTTGTGGGATGAGCTTAGTTATCTGAAAATGTCGAACTAAAACTGATAAAAATATATCAAAGAGTGACTTTTCTGTTAATTTGAAAACGTCCATAGTTTCCTACAAAAGAAGGACCGATATTACTAGTCCTTCGAACTCATTCAAGTTTCGTAGAAACTATTATAATGCCCTCTGTTTGGACTAAATCGAATAGTCTCCTCGAGAGCAAGACAGATAGATTCCAAATTACATGAAACGGATTTCGTCCGAAGAGACATGTGGTCTAAAACTGTTATTTACTTATAAAAAAAGAAAATCAATGTTTTTAATGTATGTGATACCCTACAACACTACAATATCTTGAAGGCGCCCTTATGTCCAATTTCGTTTTGAAATAATGTCATAGAGCCCTGTCCTGGTGTTACTCTTAGGTTGTTGGGCATTTTGCACACCGTCGAGTTGTTAGGTAATCCCAATGGTCATCCAAATTGCTACACTTCTTCCCCGTCCTGAACTCTCTTCTCAATTGGTTTTCAATTGTGACCTGTAGAACGATTGTTTACAAGCGTACAAAGCATTTTTGGTGAAATTTTCCAGTGGTGAACTGCCGAATTTGGCTTTCTCCGATAAGAAAACATTCGTTGTCCAGCAGTTTCTAAACAACCAAATTGATCGTGTTTACTTGCCAAAGAGGTCAGCTGAAAATGTACACCTTCGATTGGCCACCAGAACTCAAGCGCCGGCCATGGTGTGGGCCGCTATAACAACTGATGGTCGCTCTCCGCTCGTATTAATCGACCGTGGCATCTGAATAAATGCCGAATATTATCGCCAAAATATTCTGGAGGGTGTATTAAAGCCCTGGGCCTGCAAACAGTTTGGCCGCAGACCTTGGACATTCCAACAGGACTCAGCACCATCGCACTCAGCACGCGCCACCAAGAATTTTTACAAAATGAGGTTCCTCGCTTCATTTCCAGCGCACAATGGCCACCAAAATCTCCGGATACCAATTCGTTGGACTATTGTGTCTGGAGTATTTTGGAAAGCAAGGTTGGCACTAAAAAATACCAAAGTGTCGATCACCTCAAGCAAGCGCTTCGCCGTGAATGGACCAAAATACCGCAGAGCATCATTCGAGCAGCGTTTGACGGTTTCATTGGCCGTTTGAAGGCCATAATTCGTGCCAAAGGTGACCAATTCGAACAAATCTAAAATTATTCTAAAATTTAATGCTATTTCCGACATTTTTTGCTTTCATTCAATAAAAAAAAAAAAAAAATGTAAAAAATATGGCGCTTGACTTTGTTGCAGTTTTTTTATCTCACCCTGTATATACATATGTATCATCTGATTTGGTGTTTACGTAACTCAAATTCGTAATACGCATTCGACAACAATGACATTTGGTACCAGATATCTTATAAAACTCGGAAATACCTTTGCCTAATTTTATCGGATAGGATTTGGATATAGCTCCCATATATATCCTTAATCCGATTTCAGTTTTATTTTGCACATAATAGCTAATATCAGCCCATATGGAGTAAATTTCAGGACATACATTTTCATTTGGTGCAACTCGGCTCCGATATATCTATATTTTTAATATAATCCTTCTCGAAGTGATATCATGCACTCTATAGCAATGTTATTTGGTATAAAAGAATAAAATGTCTCCTTCAAATTTAGTGAAAATCGATTCAGAATTGGATGTGCCTCCCTTATATAAGTTCCCTCCGAAACCAAACTATGACTACTCTAAAACCAAATGTTGATAGGTGGTAAGATCTCCTTCAAATAAATTCTTGTTACGGAAGCTCTACTAAATATGCATAGTGGTGTAGGGTATCATATAGTCGGCCCCGCCCGACTTTTGACTTTTCCTTACTGGTTTTTAATTATTTGTGTATTTACAATAGGATTATATTTTTATAAATCCTGTTGTAAATACACAAATCAGTTATGAAAACTTTGTTTTAATGCTGTAAAATTTGGCAAGGTAAATTACGGAAAATGCTGATATGGGTATGCGTATTTGAAATGACTTTACCTTCTTAATTTTACCATGCAATAGACAAGGAAAAACGAATATTTTACTATCCCATGTCTAATTATTCATTACCTTGGAATTTTGCAATTCGCACAGGCTAACTTGGATCCCATTTTGTATAAAATGTTCTTCAGTCATATTCATTCTAATCCTTAAAATCATCTCGTTAGGAGATAAAGGCAATCCTATATTCCAAATCTTGTTTTCGTAACATTCATTATTAATAGAAGTACCTACCTATTTGTTCTGATAAGACCCCGCGGGAAGACACAAGTTGAAGACAAATAAAATTCCCATCTCCATTAAAAAAAAAAAAAACAATCCAAAGAAAAATGCATTGAATTCCAAAAGAAATTGCAACACATCAGTCACATCACTTCACTCATGGTGCAAAAATACACACACAGATAGAGAGCTTCTTTGTTGAGGTGTGTGCATGTGTTTGAAAAAACACATTGAAGATGTTCTTTGCTTGTTTGTTTCTTTTTTAACCCCTTTAACATTTCTCAAAGAGAAACACACACAAAGTAACATAACTCGGGTACATGTACCTAATAATGCCACTTAAAACTCACCTTTTGACTGGGTATCCGTTTTAACATTTACTGTTGTTGTTGTTGTTGATGATGATATTGGAGTTGCTGCAGCATCCATTGACATTGGCAGACATATGCTGGCAATTGCAAATGCACAAAGGAAGTAAATAAATCCATGGCGTACAGCGGAAACTGGAGAGGAGAGTTGGCGAAAACAACAAAGAGGTCGTCGTCGTTGTTGTTGCGGTTGACGATGGGGCCTTAGCAGAGAAGGCATTTTGCTAAACAAATGCACCAGCACGAACTTTTGCAAATTATTATATTTTGGTTTTCAAACAAAGGTATTTCCTTGGATGATGGTGTTGTTGCTATTTTTCTCGTTACTGCTGTCGTTAATAACAAACATATGTTTTGTCTTTGCTCTGCCAATGTTTAACGACGACGATAGAGCCAGCAAAACAACATTTGCATTTGTTTACTCTCGACAGATAGCAGCAGAAGCAGTAGTTGTTGTTTTCGTTTTGTTGTAGTAGCAATGTTTAGTTAACATAGAACGAGAGAAAACATGGAAATAGAGCAGGGCTATCTCTGTCATAACAGGAAAGAGAGCTTCAATATGACATCACACTTCCTGTGGTGAGAAAACAGCCGTTGTTTCATCAATTGTTGGGAGAGAGTGTCAACAACATTTGTTGAAGAGCGGCGGCAGCAACAGCAGCAGTTAAAGGATGAGCACCAACCAACAATGTTTTGCAATTGACATTTGTTGTTATAGGTGGTTGGTGTTGTTGTGGTTTTTATTGTTATTGGAAAATGGAAATCGTTGATGTTATTCTTCTCTGCCAGGATTTTTGGTTGGTTGCTGAACAACAAAACACGACTTGTTTTTGGCAAGTCGTTGGTTGCAGTGCAAAAGAAAATTGCAATTTCAAGGTTACGCTGAAATAACAGCAGCAGCAACAACAACAACAAGGCTATTTTTTAAAACACTGACAAACAGACAAACAAATGTTAATTCCACTGCTGCTGAATCATTTGCTTGGATTGTCTGTCTATGAAACGGGGTGTGGTGCAATTGAGTTGTTATTGTTGTTTTTTTTCTGTTTTTAGAATTTGATTTCAAAATTAGGCAGCTTTTGTTTTGTATAAGAAACTTTTTTCCGAAGCCTATTATTCTCTGCTATGTTGTTGCCATAGAAATGCCTTGCACATACACTCAAGACGCTTCACACATCATAACATTAAGCACTGAACTTTTTTGTTGTTGTTTTCTTTTCGGGTAGGGGAGAGAATGCCTTGTAGTGGGGGACCCCAATCAGCCTGCCGCCTTTGCTCTGTGAATGATTTCTTATTTTGGCATTTCTTGCTTACAACTCGTTCCACCAGTTTTGTTTTCAGGCGTTCCTTTTTCTCATTTTGTTTTATTTTTATACTATTATTTCTTTCGGCCTATGCTGTTGGCCAAAAAAAAAAACGAACGAACGAAAAAACACTTTGTTATTTATTAAAGCAACAACAAAAAAATTAATTTCTTCTCTTGATTCTCTTTTTCACGTTTTGTATTAACACTACAAAGCAGATACACTCTTTGCTCAATTCTTTTTTTACAAATTTAATTTTTACGTTACGCTCACTTTGTTGTTATTTAGCTTCTGCCTCTTCTTCTTTTTCTACCTCTACCTCTTAATTTTATTTTGTTTTAATAATTCTTGAGATTTCAATTAACTTTTCATAACACATCGATTATTTGGTATGCGAATTGATTACGTTTTCGGGGACATTACGTTTTCGTTGTCGTTTTGTTATTTCTTTTTTTTAGCAACTACTTCTATTTACTCTAATTTAAAGTGAAAAAACAGCACTCGCGTAATATTCTTTTTTATTGTTGTGAGTCTCGCAAGACAACAAAACAAACAAACAATCAATTCAATCACAAAAACACTACTCTAAGCTAAAACTTTTCTTTCATCGTTAATTCACTCACGCGTTCTTTTGGATTTCGAAACGTACGAAACCGCTCGATTGCGCTGCTGTTGATAAACTAACCATAAATCGAGGGAATTGTGTGTTGTTCTCTCTCTTTCTCATTTGCTCTTTGTCTCTCATTCCCCAACAATTTCAAGTGGTTGCACAGTTGCATAGAATGACGCCTAAACTGGGAAGCACAATAAAGGCGTCTAATCAAGGCGTTTCAACACAGAATTCTTATGGGAAAAAATTGTAATAAGAAAAAGTAAATAAACAATAAGTTAAAAATGCTAATTAGAGTTAATAATAAATAAGAAACATATCACTAACATAATTTTAATAAAATTCTACAATCAAAAAAGAGCAAAAGGAAATATTTTGTTTTTCTATTTTTTTTTTAATTTAAATTCCCGATGTACATTTCTAATATGTAAACTATGTTTCATAGCTTTAATTTAAATATGAAAATTAAATTAATTTGAAATAAATTTAAAATATAACCTATAAAAGGAATATTAATAAAAAACGTCCTTTGTTTAAAAGGAAGGAAACATTTTATCTTCATATTAATTTTATTTATTCTTGTTTTTCTTCCTCTCTCAGCAACAGCCGATGTGGTGAATTGCTGATGTCTGCCTTATTGGCAAAGTATCGTTCAGTTAGTGTAACACGTATCGTCTTAAGTAATTAGTAATGCTAGGGTAGCATACAAATTGTACGTTATGTTAAAAATATTTATAAAGCTAACTAATATTACTAAAAATGCATTAATAAGAAACTGAATTTATGACTGTGAGTGAATAAAATTAATGTGTAAATTTATAAAAAACAAACCAAAAGAAGTATACTAACTTTGTTTCTTAATTATCAATAAATTTCAAACACGTTCGCCCAAATAAATATGTCATTAGTTTTCTCATAATATATTATTTTATATCTAAAAGTTGAATAAAAATGTAATGTAATAAAAAATCATTATTTAAACTGAATAAAACATATTGCCGCTATATCAATTGTGCCTATTTCTTGATATTCTAGTTTTCAGCTACGATCAATGCTGTTGTTCACCTTAATTTTAAGCGAAGTTAGTATATTTTTTAAAATTTTAAAAATGTATAATTATACCCTACACCACAAGGTGGTCAGGGTATTATGTCTTTGTTCATTTGTTTGTAACAGGCAGAAGGAAACGAGATAGACCCATAGTTCCTTTTGATGATCTGCATAGAATCACATTCTGAGACGATTTATGCATGTCCGTCCGACTGTCCGTCTCAATGTATTTTTGTAAACAAAGTACAGGTCGCATTTATTGCCCGATCCAAATGAAATTTTGCACAGATCATTTGTTTGGCCCAAGGACGAACCCTATTGAAATTGAAATTACAAACGTGTAATATCAGCCCGAATTGTATGGAAATTTGCATATACACCCAAATTAGGCCTGAAAATATGTATGCCAAATTTGATCGAAATCGGTTCAGATATAGCTATAGCTCCCATATATATTGCTCATCCGATTTGTTATTTTTGTCCACCGCCGCCGTAATATGCACTCTACAACAACAATATTTGGGGAAATGTAATAAATACAGCTCAGAAATACATTTGCTAAATTTAATCGAGATCGGTTCAGATTTGAATATAGCTCCCATATATAACTTCGTCCGATTTACTTTTCATTGTGCACCAAACGTCTAATATTTGTCCAAATGGGATGCAATTTGGCACTTACGACCGAATTGAGTCTAGAAGCTAGTATGCCAAATTTGGTGAAGATCGGTTCAGATATAGCTATATCTTCCATATATATTATTCATCCGATTTGTTATATTCGTTACCCACAACCGTAATATGCACTCCGTAACAACGATATTCAGGGAAATATATCAAATACAGCTCAGAAATGCCTTTGCCAAATTTTATCGAGATCGGTTCCGATTTGGACATAGCTCCCATATATATTTTTATCCGATTTCAATCGTGCACCAAATGGGTAATACGAATTTACAAATGCTTCGGCATATTTAGTCCTTTGAACTTTAAATTATAATTATAAGCATAGCGTGTATGATTGAATTCTCCCATAAAAACTTTTAATTGAATTAGCAAAGTGGTGTAGGGTATCATAAAGTCGGCCCCGCCCGACTTTAAGTCTTTCTTTACTGGTTAAAAACTTATAATAACATCTATTTAATTAATTATATACTTATATTAAGCTTGAATGTATTTAGTTAAATTTAAAATAATAATGTAATAAACAAATTAAAATTGAACCAATAAAGAAAAGCCAAAGCCGAGCTGAGCCGATTTTATGATACCCTACACCACTTTGCATGTATAGTTCTACTATACAAATCACAAATAAACGCTTTTATGGAGAATTTATGAGAATTAAGACATACCACATATGACAGTTTTTGATTGCGTAATATTCATCAAAATCCATCCTAGTTGAGCGGATATAACACTTTTCAAGCGCATTAAATGTCCAGTTGATCCACCTTAAACATGAAATCAAGTACAGATATATATGGGAGCTATATCCAAATCTGAACCGATCTCAATGAAATTTGACAAATGTATTTCTGAAATGTATTTGATATATTTCTCCGAGTATCGTTGTTACGGAGTGCATATTACGGCTGTATGGGAGCTATAGCTATATCTCAACCGATTTCCACCAAATTTAACACACTTTTTTCTATCGTTAATTTGGTTATTTGTGCCAAATTCCATCAAGTTTGCCGTAATATTACACGTTTGTATATTTCGTTATCATTCATATAAATTCGTGTGTACAACTCTTGTTGTGAAAAAGCCGAAGGCGTCAATCGGGTATTAGGTAGGTAACATTTGACGGCAATTTTATCCACTTAATTTATTTCGTTCGAAAGCTAAAGTGCTTTTACACGATGGTTTGACGGACATAAATACAGGGTTGCCCATATTCGACGGACCCATCTGGCAACGCCATAACTTTTGACAGAGATGTCACATCGCTTAATGACATACCGCGTTTGAAGCGTCAGTCCAAGTAAATTTTTACCATGAACCAATACACGCCACGCGAATTCTTCAACAGAAGAAGTCAATTGTGAAAACTCAACGTGCCTTTAAAACATTAAAAAATGTGAGAAGTGCGCCTTCTAAGAACACCATTAAGCGTTTATACGAAAAATTTCCGACTGGTAAGGCTCTTTCTAATCCCAAGAGGCCATATAAAAGTCGACCAAGGTGATCGGCCGAGAATATCGCTGCCGTACGAGCCAGTGTTGAGAGGTCCCCAAGAACATCCCAAAAACGCCGTTCTCAGCAGTTGGGCATGACTCGGTCCACTTTACAACGGATTATTCGCATTGATTTGCATTTGTTCCCGTACAAAATTCAATTGACGCAAAGAATGTTGCCTGCGGACAAGCCTCTTCGATTGGAATGGGCCCAAAGGTTTGTCGAATATGGGCAACCCTGAATATGGGAGCTATAGCTATATCTCAACCGATTTCCACCAAATTTAACACACTTTTTTCTATCGTTAATTTGGTTATTTGTGCCAAATTCCATCAAGTTTGCCGTAATATTACACGTTTGTATATTTCATTATCATTCATATAAATTCGTGTGTACAACTCTTGTTGTGAAAAAACCGAAGGCGTCAATCGGGTATTAGGTAGGTAACATTTGAAGGCAGTTTTATCCACGTTCTTTATTTCGTTCGAAAGCTAAAGTGCTTTTACACAATGGCTTGACGGACATAAATATATCTTATACTGATTAAAAATATACATATACAAAAATATACATACATATATACATACGAAATGAATAATTTAATATATTCCTACCATAGTAAGATGGAGGATATTCATTAATATCTTCCTATTAATTTATGAACAATCAGTAGTTAAATTTATAATTAACTCATTAATTCCTTGTTGTCTTATTTGTGCTGCCCTCTACATGTGAAAAATCAATGTGCTGTATTTCAACATAGTCGATTTACACATCCACTTTCCCGTGTACGTGGCGATGTGGCAACTACACTCAGTAAATTCATTAATTACCGATAACATGGTGCACAGCTGGTAATGCAGTTAATCAATTTAAATGTTGTTAAGGCAGTGAAGAACATCATCAACAAGAAAAAGTTTGCCGCTACAAATTAACTAAAAATTCAAATGATGAACAATTTGATTAATAAATAAATTCATTGTTATATATACAACGGAAAAAATTACAAGTCTATCCTTGAAATAGCTTTTGTAGAAAATTAAATAGTAAAAAAAAATTAAATAATCTCTGGTACCAAATGACCCCGTAACAATTATTGATTATTGTGCCATTTGGTGCACAACAAACCTGAAATCGGATTAAGATATATATATGAGAGCTATATCCAAGTCTGATCCGATCTCGATAAAATTTGATGAAGGAATTTCTACTATATCTAGTATCTGGTACCATATATCATTCTTGTGCAGTGCATATTACGAATGTGAGGGACTAACATACCAAATCGGATGAGACATATTCAGGGTGAGAAAAAAAAAACAGAAAAAAGTTATTCGCGATGGAATTCAAGCGTGATAGTGTGATTTCTTTATATTTGGCTGAAAAACCACAAGTGGCTATCGTTAGAGCACTCCAGCATTTAAATGAGAATAAATCTTTTGTGTCTCGTACCATCGCTCGTTACCGTGCTACTGGTAGCGTACCCCGACGTCAAGGAGTTGTACGGAAGAAAACAGCAACATCAGCAGAAATGTTTCGAAATGAAAAGAAGCGACTTGATCGAAACCCCCGTCGCAGTGGCCGAAAAATGGCTCGTGAGTTGAACATATCGCAATATTCCATTCGGCAAATATTGCAAAATGAGCTCGGGGTAAAGCCATTGAAATTCCAAATATTGCAAGAACTTACACTGCAATAGACAGAAAATAGATTCGAAAGAGCAAAAGAGTTGCTTCGCTTGGCCGAAAGTGGTGAACAGCCGAATTTTGTTTTCTCCGATGAGAAAACATTCGTTGTCTAGCAGTTTGTAAACAAACAAAATGATCGTGTTTACTTGCCAAAGAGGTCAGCTGAAAAGGTGCACCTTCGATTGGCCACCACAACTCAAGCCCCGGCCATGGTGATCGTGTGGGCCGCCATAACAGACGATGGTCGCTCTCCGCTCGTATCGACCGTGGCATCAGAATAAATGCCGAATATTATCACGAAAATATTCTGGAGGGTGTATTAAAGCCTTGGGCATGCCAACATTTTGGCCGCAGACCTTGAACATTCCAACAGGACTCAGCACCATCGCACTCAGCACGCGCCACCGAAGAATGGTTAAAAATCCAAAATCTCCGGATACCAATGCGTTGGACTATTGTGACTGGAAATACCGCCGGGAATGAGCCAAAATACCGCAGAACAACATTCGGGCAGCTTGAGACGGTTTCATTGGCCGTTTGAAGGCCATAATTCGTGCAAAAGGTGACCAATTCGAACAAATCTAAACTTATTCTAAAATTGGATGCTATTCCCGACATTTTTTTTATACCCTCCACCATACTATGGAGGGTATATTAACTTTGTCAAAGTATATATATTCTTGATCAGCGTAAAATCTTTCGAACGAATTGAGATAGAAAGCTAAAATTTTGCACACATGTTTATTTTCCCAGTAGGCAGGTTAAGTTCGTAAATGGGCCATATAGGTTCACGTATTCATATAGCCCCCATATAACGGTACCTCTCGATATTCGGTATTTTGATGATTTTAGCGACATTATTCACCGGAATTGTTTCAAATATGGTATTTGAAGTTCGAAATGGATACTACAGCTTAATACAGAAAATTATTTGTGCAGGTCCCCGTCTTCGTATAGCCCCCATATAACGGTACCTCCCTATATTCGGTATTTTTATGATTTTAGCGACATTATTCACCGGAATTGTTTCAAATTTGGTATTTGAAGTTCGTAAAGGGAGCTACAGTCTGTGACAGAAAATTGTCCAGAAAAGGTCCAGGTCTTCGTATAGGCCCCATATATCAGTACCTCCTTATATTCGGTATTTTGACGAGTTTAGGTACAAAACCCACCGAAATTGTTTGAGATGTCGTATTTGAAGTTCGTAATGGATGCTACAGCCTGTGACAAAAAATTTTCTTTGCTGGTCCAGTTCGATATTTTGATGATTTTAGCTACATTATTCACCGTTTATTTCAAGTTTCGAATTTGAATATTGTAATGCCTTATGACAAACAATGCCTATGTAAGTCCACGTCCTATAGACCCCAATTTTTAAATTTTAACAGAATTGTTTAAGGATTTTATTTTTTGAAAATTTTCAAATTCGTTCCAAATGGTGGAGGGTATAAAATTCAATAAAATTTATAAAAAATAAAATTCAATAAAATTTATAAAAAAAAATTTATAAATTATGGCGTTTGACTTTGTTGCAGTTTTTTTTTAACTCACCCTGAACTTTTTAACTTGTGAAAAGAATTTTCAAAAATTTGGAATTTGTAGTTTGAAAAATGTTCTAGCTAGCGAGTAGGGTATTTAAAGTTCGAACTGATCGAAGTTAATGTTTTATTACTTGTTCTATCTAAATTTACAACTAAAATAACATATTTGTGTCGTTATTTCAAAGTCAAATTCTTTATTTAACTTTGAACTTCAAAGTGGAACACATTCAACGTCAAGGACTTTCAACCTCAAGGTTACCCCCCATGGTTTGACATGCGCTAATTATGACATTTAATCTTTTTTTTTTTGTGGCCCAAACAGGACATTCCATACTAATGACTTGCAATTTTTTTCTTTTTACACTAATTTCTGCACTGCCAACAGTGGCAGTAAGCGGTGTACGACAAACGAATAATGAGAAATTTAGTAAGGTGTCTTAGGAGAGGGAGGGTGTATCAATTTTCGCGACAGGCATCTGTAAAGTGCAGAAGTTTTTTTTTTTCATAAATGTGTAGGTCATTAAATCCAATAAAAATGACTGGCCATATCGATTTGTTTGTTCAAATTAATAAAGGAGCAATGAATTAAAAAAAAAAAAAAGCGGAGATGAAGTATTCATCGGCGTTGGGGTCATTCGGTCATAACTGCCAACCGTCCATTCATTGGCTTGCCAGTCAGTCAGTCATTCATAAACGTTTTAATGTAATCTAACACGCTTGGGGACACACATTATTTTTTTTTTTTGTTATTGTTTGTTATTTATTTAATATCCAATGCAGGCGAGATTTGCACGAAAACCCGGCACTGGCATGCAGTTGGAAAAATGCATTCGAACAAGACAGGACGTATATTCCTGGCTGCCATAGCGGGTGAGTTGGAAAATTCTTTTTTGTTGTATTTTTTTTCCAAATTTTTGTTTTGTGTGTGAATTTTAGCAAATTTGTCAGCCTTTGCTGTGGGCACCTGTTTGGGCTGGACTTCCCCTGTTGGAGCCGTACTTAAGTCATCGGATACTTCAAATTCGCCGTTGGATTATCAAATCGACGCCAATGAGGATGCCTGGATTTCATCGATATTAGCATTGGGCGCCTTAGTTGGTATGTCATGAAATGGTAAAATATTTTTATACCCTCCATCATACATAGCATGGAGGGTATATTAAGTTCGTCATTTCGTTTGTAACGCATCGAAATAATCATTTTAGACATATAAAGTATATATATTCTTGATCAGCGCCCTGTCCTCCCGTCTGTTTAATCACTCTACAGTCAAAACGAATTAAGATAGGAAGCTAAAATTTTGAACTCTTTTGTCTGCAGGCAGGTCAAGTTCGAAGATGGGCTTTATCGTTCCACAGTACCGTATAGTCCCCATATAACGGTAACTTAAAACATTCGGTCTCAAGGAGTTCCTTGTGAGATCTTTACCCCCTGAAAGTCAATTATCTATATCGGTCCACGATATTGTATAGTCCCTATAAAACGGTACCCCCGATATTCGGTATTCTGATGATTTTAGCCACATTTTTCAACGGAATTGTCTGAAAACACATAAGGGGTTCTTTGTTAGTAAATAAAATAAAAGAGAATTTTTATAGATTTATATAGGTCCACGATTTCGTATAGCCCACATATAAAGGTACCCCCCGATATTCGGTATTTTGATGATTTCTGCCAATTTTTTCAATGGAATTGTCTTAAAATCCACAGAATGAGTTCTTTGTGAGTACATTACTCTCTGGAAGAGAATCGGTTCCTCCCGATATTCGGTATTTTGATGATTTTTGCAACGTTATTAACCTGAATTGTTTCAAATTTCCTATATAAAGTTCGGAACAGTTACTATGGCCTATGAGAAAAATTACTTATGCAGGACCACGTCTTCGTATAGCCCCCATTTAACGGATTTCATTTGAGCGGCATTTTCCGACGGAATTTTTTTTTTTTTTTTGAAATTGTTCAAGTTTCTTCCAAATGGTCGGGGGTATAAAAAGTTAGGCCCGGGCGAACTTAACTGTTTTTTTTTACTTGTTCGTTTCATACTCAGTATACATTACCAAGATAGAACTTAGACATGTGGAACCATATCTGATCTGACGACATTTATTTTAGGGAGTAGACGATCTCATACATTATTCGAAGAGATTCTGTTGTAATTCGAGTGTTTCGTCTGAAATTTTTATTTGGACTTCAATTTTTATATCCTACAACACTATGTGTTGGGGGTATTATAAGTTTGATTGGGCCACAATATCTTGTGGAATTCTTTCGAGTATCTCGCCTATATAAACAGTATCGTTTATTATAGTGTTGTAGGGTATTCAACGGTAGGCCCCGCTCGACGGTAGCCTTTGCTTACTTGTTTTAAATAAAATTGCAAATATCACATTTATTCGACATTCGAAATATTAGCTGTATAATTCGATTTTGAGCGCTCCACCCTGAAAAGGAGGGAACATCTAAATATTCGTAAGATACCACATAAAGTATATAAATAATTGACTGGCCGAAAATCAACGCCAAGACCAAAGGGCTGAAGCCAGAATTTTGAAATATTGAACAAGAATCAGTCTTGGTGCTTAGGCATGTGATAAGGTTGGGTTTTTCGAAATTCGTACTAATATCTTACGAAAAGTCCTAAAACGAATCAGTCTTGGTGCTTAGGCATGTGATGAGGTTGGGTTTTTTCGAAATTCGTACTAAAATCTTACGAAAAGTCCTAAAACATACTCAAAATTGAATACTTGAAATTTGGATAAGAGTCGTTGTTGAAGTGCAGGATAGATGTATCAAAGGGTTTTTAGAAATTCGAACTTTAAGGTTATCAAAAATTTCTAAAATGGTACTAAACTTTTGAAATGGTACCGTTGGTATTATGCGAACAAATAGAGCTAAAAGCCTGAAATTTGGTATGAGAATCAAGGTTAGAAAATAAGTTTTATATATGAGGGTGGTTATGGAAATGTGTACTAAGTGTGCGAACTGTACTAATTGGTTCTAATTTTGGAAAAGTTTTGTTTGAGGTTTACGGATGAAGCTGGAATTTTGAAATTTTGTATTGCGGCCTCTGTTCGTGGCAGGTTTCTGATAAATGGAAATGTTTACAACAAGTGTAGAAAAAGTACTAAATAGTACAATATTTGGTACAATTTGGTATTGGGTGAACAGATAGAGCATTAAATTTGAAATCTGGTATTATAGTCGATATTCATGTGTAGCCTGGACATACGGAGGTGGTTTCGAAAATGTGTACTATAATTGTATACTGGTGGAATCAGTGGTTAAGATGGTAATTTGGAAAATGTGTACTAAAATTGTTCGAAAAGTACTAAGTACGAAAATAGTACGAAAATTTTAGTACAAATAGAGCTGAAATCCTGAAATATGATATATATATATATATATATATATATATATATATATATATATATATATATATATATATATATATATATATATATATATATATATATATATACAGGGTGAGATGAAAAAACTGTAAGCAACTTCAGACTGCTGTCATTTTTAAGCCTCTCGTCCGACAGCTGTTAAAATTATTTCAGTGACAGCTCATTATATTGTTTACAAGCGTACAAAAGCATTTTGGTTAGTTAACAGCATGCGCCACCCAAGAATGGTTACAAAATGGGGTTCCTCGCTTCTTTTCTAGCACACAATGGCCATAAAAATCCCCGGATACCAATCCGTTGGACTATTGTGTCTGGAGTATTTTGGAAAGCAAGGTTGGCACTAAAAAATACCAAAGTGTCGATCACCTCAAGCAAGTGCTTGACTCATTCTAAAATTTGATGCTATTTCCGACATTTTGTGCTTTCATTCAATAAATTAAAAAAAAACAAGTAAGCAAAGGCTACAGTCGAGCGGGGCCGACCGTTGAATACCCTACAACACCATAATAAACGATACAGTTTATATAGGCGAGATATCGAAAGAATTCTACAAGATATTGTGACAAATAATAAAAGATAACCATTAGGTTTCGTTCTCTAATTTTCGAATAATAGCAACTTAAACTAATTTGCTTATTTCCAATTTATTGGTAGATGTTGCACGTAAATGGCCTTCCTAGATCTGGAACCAATATTTCCCAAAGACCTATAATTTCTCAGAAGTGGCAAAAGATTAACATTTATTATTGGTTTTTGACTGAAACGCATCGATATGAGATACAGGCATTTGACTGTATTCTTCAACGAAATCAGCCTTAACGAAATAGTCAGAAGTGCGTCTTTCCTGTATTTGTGAATTCTCCAAAAAGTCACTGGAATGGACATCTTCGTATTTTGTCTACAAAAGTTGGCAAACTCCTTCACACATTGAATATTTTTGGATGGCCATCCAAAACTGCTTGGCTTTTGCAATGTCCGGTAACCCCCATTCAAATGTGCGTGAGGATCGGGCGATAATTACGACCTGCTGACAATTTTGCAGTTTTTTGGTCCATTTCAACCCCTAAATATATGGCGATCATCTCCAAAAAGAGTAGGCTTCTATTCTGACCCTCATCTTATCCCCATGCAAAATTTCGTAAGGATCGGGCCATAAATGCGATCTGTATATGACATCCTGATAGCCTAACTACTTAGTTTTTTTAGCTGTAGAAATATTACCAAATGTTTAATTCAAAATGAAAATATGCCAAAAAATGACAAAATGGAAAAAAATATGAGAAAATGTTACAAAATCAATATTTTCATCTTTAGAGAGATATTTGTATGCGTTTTTTAGACATTTTTCCTTTCCTGCCACGAGGCCATTCTGAATTAATGAGAACTGTCGAAATCAGTTCATCCGTTCTCGACATATATGAGATCTTTCAAGCATATCTTCTTTGATAGACATATGTATCGCATATATTTGCTATATATTCGATTTTTTGGATCTTAACATCAATGTAAAGATCAGAAGTAACCTTGTCATGGCTTTGTGATTTCGCCGGGATTTAAAATATTCGCGGTTTAATGAAAAATTTTGAATTTTTTCAACAAAAAAGATATCTATTTTACCCGCTAAATATTATCCGATGACCACCCAAATTGGTAGGCTTCTTCACCGCCCTAAACTCTAGCTACATGCGAAATTCCAGGTTGATTGGTCTATAATTGCGACCTGTATAGCTACTGCAAAATCCGACATTTTTTCAGTATTTGGTCCATTTCAACCCCTAAACATTTGGCGATCATCTCCAAAAGAAATAGGGTTCTTTTCTGACCCTAGCCCCACCTCCATTCTAAATTTCGTGAAGATCGGGCCATAATTGCGACCTGTAGAGTGATTACAAATTAACATGGACAGACGGACAGACGGACAGACGGACAGACGGACAGACGGACGGACGGACATACATAGCTAGATCGACTCAGCTCGGCGAGCTAGGAAGATCCATATATACTTTCCTATATGGGAAACCAATATTTCGAGGTGTTACATAAATTCTGGCCCAATCAAACTTATAATACCCCAACACATAGTGTTGTAGGGTATAAAAAAATGTAAAAACTATGGCGTTTGACTTTGTTGCAGTCTTTTTTTATCTCACCCTGTAGGTCGTATATATCGATCCACTTTTGATCTAAATATGTAAGTACTTCTTTTCACATTTTTTTATACTTGCTGTTCTTTTCCTCTTTCCCTTAGCCCCCTTTATTGCCGGCCCTCTGGCAGACAAAATTGGTCGCAAATGGTCTTTGATCTGCAGTTCCATATTTCTGGTCATAGCCTTTGTTATGATGATGTTGGCCCATCGTGTCTGGCTTTTGCTGGTGGGACGTTTCCTACAAGGTTTTGGGGCAGGATTTGTAATGACCATCACTCCCATGTATGTGGGTGAAATTTCCACAGATGATGTGCGTGGAGCCACCGGTTCCTTAATGCAATTGTTTCTAGTGGGTAGGTCAAAGGTTATGAACTTTAAATAAAAAAAATATTAAAAATCCTTTTTCTTTTCCTCTCCCTCACAGCTGGTATACTATATGTCTATGCCATTGGTCCATATGTCTCCTATCAGGCCCTGCAATGGTGTTGCCTTATCATACCGCTTCTTTTCGACGCGATATTCTTTTTTATGCCCGAAAGTCCATATTATTTGGCCGGCAAGGGACGCAAGGTGGAGGCCCTGAAATCCTTGAAATTCCTTCGCGGCCAAGCCACCGCAGACAATGTTAAGGAGGAAATGTGTGGCATACAAAAAGTCGTCGAGGAATCCATGTCGAACAAGGCTTCTTTTAAGGATCTTTTCACAAATACTGGCAATCGTAAGGCCCTAATTATTACAGCAGGCTTGGTGGCCTTTCAACAGTTGTCGGGCATAAATGTCGTACTCTTTAATGCCCAGTCGATATTCGAAAGTGCGGGTACCGATTTGGATCCTGCCATTGCCACCATAATCATTGGTGCCGTACAGGTTATTTCGTCTGGACTTACACCCATACTGGCAGATAGTTTGGGTCGCAAAATAATACTACTCATTTCGGCGGCTGGCATGTGTATGGGCCTGACGGCTTTGGGTGCCTTCTTCTATATGCAATTGGTGGTTGGGGATATATCCCAGGTCCTCTGGCTCCCGGTGCCGGCTTTGGTGATTTACAACATTGTTTATTGCATTGGCTTTGGTCCCCTGCCATGGGCAGTGGCCGGCGAGATGTTTCCACCCAATGTTAAATCAAAAGCAGCTTCCATTGGTACATCCACATGTTGGACATTGGGATTTCTGGTAGCCTATTCATATCCGGCGCTGGCCCAGTTGGGGTCCTATTATGCTTTTTGGTTATTTGCCGTGTTCTGTGCCATCGCTTTTGCCTTTACATTGTTTGTGGTAATGGAAACGGAAGGATTGAGTCTGCAAGAAATTCAGAATAGATTGAATGGGCGTAGTAGCGGTGAGCCAGTGGAACAGTGAATATGGGTGGAGATATTTAAGAATATTTGTTGTTATAAAAAAAATAAAATAAAGAAAAATTTCGAATTTATTACAAAAATAACTGAAAACAAGTAAGCAAAGGCTACAGTAGAGCGGGGCCGACCGTTGAATACCCTACAACACTATAATAAACCATACAGTTTATATAGGCGAAATACTCGACAGAATTCCACAAGATATTGTGACAAATAATAAAAGAAAACCATCAGGTTTCGTTCTCTAATTTTCGAATAATAGCAACTTAAACTAATTTGCTCATTTCCGATTTATTGGTAGATGTTGCACGTAAATGGTCTCCCTAGATCTGGAACCAATATTTCCCTAAGACCTATAACCTCTCAGAAGTGGCAAAAGATTAACATTTATTATTGGTTTTTGACTGAAACGCATCTATAAGAGATACAGACATTTGACTATATTCTTCAACGAAATCAGCGTTAACGAAATAGCCGGAAGTGCGTCTTTCATGTATTTGTGAATTCTCCAAAAAGTCACTGGAATGGACATTTTCGTATTTTGTCTACAAAAGTTGGCAAACTCCTTCACACATTGAATATTTTTGGATGGCCATCCAAAACTGCTTGGCTTTCGCAATGTACAGTAACCCCCATTCAAATGTGCGTGAGGATCGGGCGATAATTACGACCTGCCGACAATTTTGCAGTTTTTTGGTCCATTTCAACGCCTAAATATATGGCGATCATCTCCAAAAAGAGTAGGTTTCTATTTTGACCCTTATCTTATCCCCATGCAAAATTTCGTAAGGATCGGGCCATAAATGCGATCTGTATATGACATCCTGACATCCTGTAGTTTTTTGGTCCATTTCAACCCCTAAATATATGACGATCATCTCCAAAAAGAGTAGGCTTCTATTCTGACCCTCATCTTATCCCCATGCAAAATTTCGTAAGGATCGGGCCATAAATGCGATCTGTATGTGATATCCTGATATCACAACTACTTAGTTTTGTTAGCTGTAGAAATATTACCAAATGTTTAATTCAAAATGAAAATATGCCAAAAATATGACAAAATTGAAAAAAATATGAAAAAATTTTACAAAATCAATATTTTCATCTTTATAGAGATATTTTTATGCGATTTTTTTAGACGTTTTTTCTTTCCTGCCAAGAGGCCCTTCTGAATTAATGAGAACTGTCGAAATCAGTTCAGCCGTTCTCGACATATAAGAGATCGCACATATCTTGCTATATATCCAATTTGTTGGATAATAACATCAATGTAAAGGTCAGAAGTAACCTTGTGATGGCTTTGTGATTTCGCCGGGATTTAAAATATTCGCGGTTTAATGAAAAATTTTGATTTTTTTCAACACAAAAGATATGGTCTATTTTACCCGCTAAATATTATCCGATGACCACCCAAATTAGTAGGCTTCTTCCCCGCCCTAAACTCTATCTACATGCGAAATTTCGCCTAGATTGGTCTATAATTGCGACCTGTATAGCTAATGCAAAATCCGACATTTTTTCAGTATTTGGTCCATTTCAACCCCTAAACATTTGGCGATCATCTCCAAAAGCAATAGGGTTCTATTCTGGTCCAAGCCCCACCTACATTCTAAATTTCGTGAAGATCGGGCCATAATTGCGACCTGTAGAGTGATTACAAATTAACATGGACAGACGGACAGACGGACAGACGGACGGACGGACATACATAGCTAGATCGACTCAGCTCGGCGAGCTAGGAAGATCCATATATACTTTCCTATGTGGGAAACCAATATTTCGAGGTGTTACATAATTTTTGGCCCAATCAAACTTATAATACCCCCAACACATAGTGTTGTAGGGTATAATAAAAAAATAACATAAAATTATGTACTGATTTGAATAATTCGTTGGAAATGGGCTTGATCTTCGAAAAGCAGACGCAGAGGGTGAAATGTTTTGGCATGTGCACAGTTTGAGGAACATCTGGAAAAATTTGAAAATATGAAGTTCAAAAAAATTAATAAATTATATCGCATTTTTTGACCTTCAAAATTTTGACCCTTTGCGTGCGAGTTCTTATTTTTAAATTTTTGTGCAAGTTCTTGTGCCCCAGCCAAGAGATCCCTTCTTTTTTAAATGTGAATATCCCAATTAATTTTCCAATATTAGATCTCGTATATTATATGTGTCCCAAACTTCGGGTCGGTAATATTTTTGACTGGATCTTTTATTTACAATAATTTAAATTTTAGGATTCTGAACGAAATCGAAACATATTTGCAAAAAATCTGAAGAAAACACATTTTCTAATATTTATTTTTAATATTTTTTATTTATTTTAATTTAATACTGCTTCTCAGATTTATATGGTCTGTTTATTTTCCACTCATTAATCCAAATACTGTACAGGTCAATCCACATTCATTGCCTTCCTGAATCGCTCATATTTTCTTTGTGTGTAGTTTATCCTGAATTTCCTGCAAACTCAAGCCACAACAAAGAAACTGAATAAAAACGCCACTGCGCAAAATCCTCCAAATATCCAGAAAACATAATAGGTGCCCATTACATCCAAATAGGGATAAATATAGGTGGCAACAAAACCAGTCGAACAACACAAAAATGTAGCAATGGGAGTCGCAATATATTTCAGATTTGGCGGAATCATTTCACCCAATATGGCCCATGGCAGCGCTCCAAAACCAATGCAATATAGAATATTGTGCACCACCAGAGCCGTGACTGATAACCAGAGAATTGTATCGACATTACCGGAATCTGCTTTCACATAGAAAAATGCACCCAATGCCGCCAAGGCCACGGCCATAATGGCGGCCGAAGTCAGTAGAATAATACGGCGTCCCATGTGATCGGCAATAATGGGTATGACAATTGAGGCTCCCACCTGCACCGTGCCAACTATAATGGTGGCCACCGCAGGATCTAGACTACTACCAGCATTTGTAAATATCGATTGAGAATTGAAGAGTACCGCATCGATGCCCGATAATTGTTGAAACACCAATAGGCCTGTTGTTATGAACAGGGCCTTCCGATTGCCTGGCAATTTAAAGAGATCCATCACCAAGCCCTGTGATATCTTCGTTTCTTCCAAAAACTTTTCAATCGAAGACATTTCCGGCTGCAAACCATTTCGACTTTGACCACGCAAAAATTGCAGCGATTTCGAAGCTTCCTCCTTACGAGCTTTAGCCGCCAAATGATAAGGACTTTCAGGCATAAAGAAGTAACAGACAGCAAATACAATGGGTACGGCAAGGCAGCACCATTGCATAGGAAACAAACGGACCAATGGCATATACATAAAGGATACCAGCTGAAAGCAAGGGATAGGAAAGAGAGAGATTAAATTAAATTAATTTTCCCTTTAAAAATTACCAAATTCGTGACTTACAGACAATGAACAAATTCATGAGTGATCCAACAGCTCCTCTGACGTCATCAGTAGCTATTTCGCCCACATAGATGGGCACTACTGTCATCGATGTTTCACAAGCAAAGCCGTGTTCATCAGCAGGACATAGCCAAGTATGAAGAGTGTTGAATTGCCAAGCAATGACCATTTACGACCCATCCAATCTGCCAGGAGTCCGGCAAAGTACGAAACTAGAAATCATTTTGATCGCTTTAAGGATATTAAAATCAAAATGTATTTGATAGGATCGAACATTTCGATATTCCACAAAAATGACTCGGTCGCCTATCGCACTCGTCCTCCAACAACGAACGAAAACGATCGGCTTAGTTTCGACCATTCAATCGATCTTGGATTTCTTGAAGACTCAAACCTTTCGTCTCCATGACAATGAAGAGGACAAAGAAGAAGGCAACAATACAAAAGATACCGAACAGCCAGAAAGCATAGTACGAGCCCATGGCATCCAAGGCCGGGTAGAAATAGGTTACCAGGAAACCACAAATCCAGCAGGTGGAGGCAACAACTGAGAAGGCAATTGGCTTGACATTGGCCGGGAAGATTTCACCCAAAACAGCCCAGGGCAGGGGACCGAAACCAACACAATAGACAATGTTGTAAACAACCAAAGCGGGAACGGGCAACCAAAGGACACTGGAAGTATCTCCGACAACTAGTTTCATATAGAAGAAACCACCCAACGCCGCCAGACCCACGGTCATAATACTAGCCGATGTCAGGAGAATGACTTTGCGACCCAAACGATCAGCAATGATGGGAGTTAAGCCAGACGAAGCCACTTGTACGATGCCCACAATAATTGTGGCAACGGCAGGATCCAAACCGGTATTGGCACTTTCGAAAATCGATTGCGAATTGAAAAGCACCACGTTGATGCCAGAGAACTGTTGGAAAACCAGGAGGCCAGCAGAAATGAACAAAGCCTTACGATTGCCAGGATTCTTAATAATATCAGCAATTGAACCCCTATTAGCTATTGATTCCTGAACACCAGCCTGGATGGTGGCCATTTCATACTGAGCACCATCAGCACTTTGACCGCGAAGGAATTGTAACGATTTCAAAGCATCCATATTGCGACCCTTGCCAGCCAAATAATAGGGACTTTCGGGCATAAAGAAGAAGCACACATCGAAGACAATGGGTATGGCGATGCAGCACCATTGTAGAGCTTGATATGAGACATAGGGGCCAATGGCATAGACATAGAGGATGCCAGCTAAGAAAGGAGAGAGAGAGAGAGAAGGGGAGACAAAAATTGAGTCAGCCAATATCTTTGGAGACAAAATCCGAGTCTACTTACACATAATAAACAATTGCATAAGCGATCCCGTGGCACCTCTCACACTGTCCGTGGCTATTTCACCCACATACATGGGCTGGACGGTCATAACGAAACCAACCCCGAAACCCTGAATCAATCGAGCCACCAGCAAAACCACTACTGAGTCACCGATCATCATGAGCACATAGGCAATAACGAAGAACAAGGAACTGGAGAGTAGCACCCATTTGCGACCAATTTTATCGGCTAAGGGACCAGCAACAAAGGGAGCTGGAAGAAATTAAAA